CGTACTGGTGTTACAAGCAATATAGCCTCAAAAACAATGTTTCAACTGAGAGCTGGAGAATAATTCATTTCCCAGAATACTTCATTTTTTTTTTCTCCTTTAGATGGGAGTCTCACTGCAACTTCCACATCCCAGCTTCAAGCCATTCTCCTGCCTCAGCCTCCTGAGTAGCTGGGATTACAGGCATGTGCCACCACGCCTACCTATTTTTTTGTATTTTTAGTAGAGACAGGATTTCACCATGTTGGCCAGGCTGGTCTTGAACTCCTGACCTCAGGTGATTCGCCCGCCTCCGCCTCCCAAAGTACTGGGAATACAGGCATGAGCCACCACTTCTGGCCCCATTGCTATAGAAGTAAAATGCTATCTGCAAAGAGATCATCTTATCCTTGTTTTAGGGAAACCCTTTGGGCAACACATTCCACAGGTCTGAAAGACTAACTTTTATTGCCAAGGAGTGCTGTCAGCCAACTAGAGCACTTGCAAAATTCAAGTATGTATGACTGTATGCCAGCCAGTATTGACTAACAAGTAATTCATTCTTTTGAGATGTAGAAAATAGCAATGCTCAGACTTAAGAGAATAAGATTTTTAAAAATACATTTTAATAGGTCCTTACTTCAACAGAAGCTGAACTGATCAGCTGTAGTAAGATGTTTGAAAAACAAGCGTTGGCCGGGTGCAGTGGCTCAAGCCTGTAATCCCAGCACTTTGGGAGGCCGAGGCGGGTGGATCAAGGTCAAGAGATCGAGACCATCCTGGTCAACATGGTGAAACCCCGTCCCTACTAAAAATACAAAAAAATTAGCTGAGCGTGGAGGCGCGTGCCTGTAATCCCAGCTACTCAGGAGGCTGAGGCAGAATTGCCTGAACCCAGGAGGCAGAGGTTGCAGTGAGCCAAGATTGCGCCATTGCACTCCAGCCTGGGTAACAAGAGCAAAACTCCATCTCAAAAAAAAAAAAAAAACTGTTGCCACTCAGTGGACATTAACAGTTCAGAACTGTGTTTTGTTTTTTGTCTTTTTAGATGGAGTCTCACTCTGTCTCCCAGGCTGGAGTGCAATGGCGAGATCTCAGCTCACTGCAACCTCTGCCTCCCAGATTCAAGTGATTCTCCTGCCTCAGTGTCCTGAGTAGCTGGGATTACAGGCACGTGCCTTCACGCCCAGCTAATTTTTGTTATTTTTAGTAGAGGTAGGGTTTCACCATGTTGGAAACTTGAACTCCTGAGCTCATGATCCGCCCACCTCAGCCTCCCAAAGTGCTGGGAATAAAGGCGTGAGCCACCGAGCTCAGCCTCAGAACTGTTTTCTATGTGTTTTTTTTTTTTTTTTTCAGATTAATAGTATCAGCCAAAATCTATGTTCTCCTATCTGTTCTCAAAGAAATGGTCTTATAAAAAGAATAACCTAGCTGAGCTCAGGTTTACACCTGTAATCCCAGCACTTTGAGAGGCAGAGGTGGGCGGATCACCTAAAGTCAAGAGTTCAAGACCAGCCTGACCAACATGGTGAAACCCCACCTCTATTAAAAATACAAAATTAGCCAAGCATGGTGGTACATGCCTGTAATCCCAGCTACTCAGGAAGCTGAGGTAGGTGAATTGCTTGATCCCGGGAGGCAGAGGTTGCAGTGAGCCAAGACGGCGCCACTGCACTCCAGCCTGGGCAACAACAGCTAAACTCCATCTCAAAATAATAATAATAACAACCCTACTTTTACTTTTGTCTAAATTTTTATCAAATATTTTGAACAGGAGCCATGTGTTTCTATGCTAGAAGAAAAGCATAGAAATAAGTAATCATACCCACTAGTCAAATTTAACTATCTTGATTGGTAAGAAGGGAGGGAGGGAAAAGAAATTAGCTGGGCGTGGTGGCACCTGTCTACAGTCCCAGCTATTTGAGAGGCTGAGGCAGGAGGACAGCTTGGGCCCGAGTTTCAGACTGCAGTAAACTATGACAGCCAGGGCAACAAAGTGAGGTCTTGTCTCTGAAAAAAAAAAAAAAAAAAGAAATAAAGAAGAAATAAAGAGAAAGTGCGAGAGAGAGAGAGAGTGAAGGAAAGAAAGAAAGAAAATAAAAAAGAAAAAAAGAAGGAAAGAAAGGAAGGAAGAAAAAAAAGAAAGAAAAAAAGAAAAAAGAGGCTGGGTGTGGTGGCTCACGCCTGTAATCCCAGCACTTTGGGGGGCTGAGGTGGGTGGATCACCTGAGGTCAGGAGTTCGAAACCAGCCTGACCAACATGGTGAAACTCCATCTTTAAAAAGAAGAAGAAAAAAAAAAGAGAGAAAAAAGAACACACCTCACCAATTTTGAAATGTGAACAAACTGCAAATAAAGCAATAGTTTTTTGGAAGTCATCACTTTGCACTGAATTAAGCATGAAACAAACACTATGCATTTCTTAAGATGATGATGCTCTGGATTTAAGTTATATATCCTATATTCTAAGATCCTAGTTACTGAATTGATAGGTAAGCCTGGACCTGGGGGGAAGGGGACTAATCAGAAAACTGAACCCTGCATTCCTTCCCTTTGGCTGACTTATGCAAATACAGGAATAAAATTTAACTGATAAAGGATAACAGCATTTATAAGTAAGACTGTTATGTTGGAGATACGTTAAGTCCTTTGGATTAAAGGCTAAAACTCAATTTTACCTTCATGAATTGATTAGAGAGAAAATTAATTACTGGGTCCTTTGGTCTTTTTTAAGAGAACTGTGGTGGCTACCTGGTAGAAAACAATTCTTAAGTCACACAAACCTCAAAAGAAATTAAAAAGTGCTGACCCTTGAAAAGGATGTTTGAAATGCTTTGGGAAAATGCACAACAGTTTAATAAATAATATTAAGCCATTATAAATCAGGACAAATATTAACAGACCATCTATGTAACTTCTATGTATGTCTTCAAACTTCAAAACGCCCTTTGCCTACAGCACTCTGGGCACACGATCTGGGGAAAACTAGGATCTGTTTTATCGGAGCTTTTTACCTTCTACCCAGAAGAGTTAGTGTTTCTTTAATTCTGCCATTACACAGTAGTTAAAGACATCCAAAGCAAGTGCAGTAATACAACTCTATGCTACGTTTAAAAAAAAAAAATCAGTAAACTTAACTCACAACTCACAATATTTTTAGTCAGGAGCTCTGGAAGTAAGGATATTGTCTTTTCCATACCCTCTGAGATTGAAATGTGTTTGCACTCTTACTCTGAACACCTAAACCCTCTCTAGGGAGACAGATATTTTATTACTAAATTACATTAACGCATTTTTCTACAGATATTAACGTACTGGAGATATGCTGTTTCCTGCTCATCAGGAAATTAAAATCCCTTTCATTTACATAGCTTTTTTATACCGCGTTCATATTCACTTGAACGTGTACACGACACAAACACTAACAAATTTAGACTTATCATATAAGATGACCCTCAGCCAGAACTTTCTCAAACTTAACTTACTCGATTTCACATCGTCTTGATGCTAACAAAATTAGGCAGGAGCACAAAGAAATCGGTACCACTGCCAGTTCTCAATGAAGAAAACCAAACTCGCCCATTTCGCAAAGGAAAAGTACTCACAATCAGACAATCGCAAAAGAAAAAAAAACTAAACCATACATTCACCTAAATCTTTTCAACTCAGAGCTCCAAACGCAGCCACCAACCACACAACTGCCCACAATCACAATCACAGTGGTAGCGCCTACTCTTAATTTTGAAGCTAGAGACTTAAAACACACACACACACACACACACACACAGACACACACACAAACACAAACAGTTCTCCAAAGTTTGACAAAGTGGGGGAAAAGTCATTTTATGTAAACACAACGATTTAATCAAGAGGCGACGAGCCCAGTCCTTCGGCCCCGCTTTCCCGCTTCCAGCCCTCAAACGAACCCTCCTCTAACCCCCCGGAGCCAGGAGTTCTGGCGGGGAGATGCGGAAAGCCTCAGACCAGCCCGCACGCCGCCGGAGACCCAGGGGCCGAGGTAGGGGAGACAAAGAGCAGCCCGCGAAGCGGCCGGGCGGCGAGGGGCGGCCCGGCTCCGCCCTGCGCCCCTAACCGCCCGGGTAGTGGTCGGCACCGCCGCGGCGCCGCCAAGTGCGCGCCACCTCTACCCGGGCCGCCCCGGAGCTGTTTCCCTCACGATTTGGGAGCCGCACGCCCGGGGACAAAGAGGAAGGGTGCGCCGGGGGCAGCGGCAGGACGCGGGCCGGCGACGCCCCTCCAGACTCGGCGGGAACCCCTCGGCGGCGCCCCCCTGCTCGCCCCCGCTCCGGCCGCGCTCCTCCCCGCACCTCCTGGGGTTCTCCTCGGCCCCTCTCCGGGCTCCCCACGAGTTCTCCCGCCTCCCCCGGGACCCTGCCCCTGGCCCGCTTCTCCTCAGCCGGCCCTGCGGCCGCCCCTCACCCCGGCGGCGGGTTCCCCGGGAGCCGCCTCCTCCGCCGGGCCTCGGCCGGTCCCGCCGGCCGCCGCCTCATGTGCTCTGCGTCGCCATCGTCTTCGCCTTCACCCTCGCCTCTCCTCCACCTCCTCCGCCGTTGCCGCCTTCGCCTCGGTCTCCAGCCGAGGCAGAAGCCGCTCCCGCCGCCGCCGCCGCCGCCTCCCGCTCCCGCCGTTGGGACCTGCGGGAAGGCGCCTGCGCACTGCGCGCTGCGGTGGGGGCAGGGGCGTCCCACCGCGGCCGGGGAGCGGGGGTCGAGCGGCACGTGGCGCTCGGGTGGGAGGGGGCGCCCCGGAACGCGCGGGAAGCAGCGCTAGCGCCAACTTTCCGCGGATGAGTTAGCGCACGCTCCCGTATAGTCCCGGACGCGGCTGAGGCGCGGCGCGCGTGGGAGTCACCCGCGCGGAGTCTGGAACCCGGGTGGGCTCAGACTTCGCTCGGGGCAGTTCATTCCTCCAGGCTGATCCTCGGGCGGGAGTCCCCAGCCAGCCATGCCTCAGTTAGATTGGGTAGCTAAGGGCGTCGTGGGCTCTCGTCTTACCTGGGTGTCCTGGGTTGGTTTAACCGGCCCAGAGTTGTCTTCTGCGCGCTCCGCCGAGGCCTTGGTCCAGTGTAGCACGGAATGCTAATGTCTCCTCGTAGGTTCTGCTCTGCAGTTCCTCGAGGATTTCGCGGGCGCTGGGTGGATAAGCCACCCTAGCGTCTTTGAGTCAGGCCTCTTAGAAGTGCTCTAGATACTTTTGAGGTCCTGAACTTCTCAGATTAGCTAGACCCTAATTGGCTATTTCCTCTTAACTCTTTGCATCCCAGCAGGATCCCATTCAGAGAACCTGGGAAAATTTTTCATGCATAGGAACCCCAGTTTTAAAATGTCCAGTAGGAAACCGAAAATTCTCCAAATGCTTTAAGAAGAGTGGGACCTTGGGTAGTATCGGAAGGCTTAGTAAAGAGATGGGCGAACTCTAGAATTATCTCAAACGAGCATCAGAATGCGGAAGGATAGTCTTTAATTTAGCCCTTTTGACCAGAGGGGAAATTAATTGCTAACAAGTGAGGTTACTTGCTGCAGGTCAAACTCCCCCACCCAAAGCCAAACCTTAAGAGGTAGCCCCAGAGTGGAAAACTTGAAGGCTAGGCATCTGATGCACTGACCAGTTTTGTTTGGTCAGTACGGTGTTTTCCAAAAATATGGATTAATTGCCAAAATATTAAAATCCAGATTTCTATCCTTCCTAAAGAGTCAAAACGTGCTTACTTTGAGCTTCTCTTTTCACATGGCAGCTCCTCCAGAGTCACCTTGTCTGGGTAGGCAATGTCCCCACTCAGCTGCTTAAATCATTTCATGACCTGCTTGGCCTCAGCATTTAAGGACTTCTCCCAGTGATTGCTGCAGTCTGTCCCCACCCCTTATCACATTGCCTCTCTACGGATGTATTTAAAATGCCTCTCTAGGGATGTATTTAAACTGACAAGCGTGGGGTTGGCACGGTTGTTCACGCCTGTAATTCCAGCACTTTGGGAGGACTAGACAGACTGATTGCTTGAGCCCAGAGGTTCCAGACCAGCCTGGGCAATACGGCGAAACCCCCATCTCTACAAAAAGTACAAAAAATAGCTGGGTGTGGTGATGCACACCTGTGGTCCTAGCTACTGGGAGCATGAGGTGGGAGGATCGCTTGAGCCCGGGAGGTCAAGGCTGCAGTAAGCTGAGATCGCACCACTGCACTCCAGCCTGAGTGACAGTGAGACCCTGTATCAAAAAAATAAAATGACACGTGTGAAAACTCTGAAAATACATGGAAATAAGAACATGTAACTAAACACAGGAAACATCATTGTGCCTGTTGACTAAAATATGAAAACTCTCAGCCTGCAACTGCAAACTGGTACAAATCACTTTGTTCTTGTTTTTTGAGACGGAGTCTCTGTCACCCAGGCACGAGTGCAGTGGCATGATCTTGGCTCACTGCAACCTCCGCCTCCCAGGTTCAAGTGATTCTCCTACCTCAGCCTCCCGAGTAGCTGGAGTTACAGGTGTGAGCCACTGCACCTGACTAATTTTTGTATTTTTAGTATAAGTGGGGTTTCACCATGTTGGCCAGGCTGGTCTCTAACTCCTGACCTCAAGTGCTTATCTGCCCGCCTTGGCCTCCCAAAGCGCTGGGATTACAGGCGTGAACTACCATGCCCGACTGACTTTGGAAAACTGTCTGGCAATATCTACTGTTGGGGTTCAGAAAATGATATCCCAGGACATGTTGGCTATAGTCCCAGCTGCTCAGGAGACTGCAGTGAGCTATGATTACGCCACTACACTCCAGCCTGAAAGACAGAGCGAGACCCCATCTCTTTAAAAAAGAAAGAAAGAAAACAATATTCCAAAGTATGGAGCTTTGGCATACTGAGTGCTTTGAACTAAAGGAGATTGGAAGGCCTCAGAAGCAAAGTCTTTCTCTGACCTTCTCCTGCCCTCCTGTCTCCCGCCCTTTCTCCCCTGAAGCCAGTCATGAAATAAAAATTTATCTTCCCCAAGGCAGGTCGTAGAAACCAGAACCCCTCTCCCGTAAAGCAAGCCATAAAACCAGAAAGGTCACTCTCCCCCTCTCTCTTCCCCCTTAAAGACCCTCATTCCGGAGGAAGCAGGAAGGAATACCCTGGAGGAAGGCATGTTACACTGGGAGACCAAGAAGAATATGAACAGACAAGCCTTGTTGGGTTTCCCGGTCAGTCTGTTACATTAGATCATCCCCCTTTTGTCTGGTCACATTTCTACATGGCTTGTCCATTCTGCATTGAACCTAAGCATAAAAACAGACAGTTGTCCTTGGGTCTTGAGGTTTTTTTGTTTTTTGTTTTTAGGCAGGATCTCTCTCCATAGCCCAGGCTGGAGTGGTGCAGTGGCGTGATCTTGGCTTACTGCAACCTCTGCCTCCCAGGTTCAAGTGATTCTTGTGCCTCAGCCTCCCAAGCAGCTGGGACTACAGGCTTGCACCACCACACCTGGATAATTTCTTGTATTTTTAGTAGAGATGGGGTTTCCCCCTGTTGGCCAGGCTGGTCTTGAACTCCTGACCTTAGGTGACCTGCCTTGCCTCCACCTCCCAATCTCATGCCTGAGATTACAGGCATGAGCCACCGCGATTGGCTCTTGAGGTCTTCATTTCTTTTCTTTTCTTTTTTTTTTTTGAGACAGAGTCTCATTGTGACACCCAGGCTGGAGTGCAGTGGTGCCATCTCGGCTCACTGCAACTTCCACCTCCTGGATTCAAGCAATTCTCCTGCCTCAGCCTCCCAAGTAGCTGGGACTACAAGCATCCACACCATACCGGGCTAATTTTTTTGTATTTTTAGTAGAGATGGGGTTTCGCTATTTCACTATGTAGGCTGGTCTGGAACTCCTGACCTCGTGATTCATCTGTCTCAGCCTCACAAAGTGCTGGGATTACAGGTATGAGTCACTGAGCCCAGCCCTTTGAGGTCTTCATTTCTGAAGGCTCTTGTGTTACATAAAACTTTGGTTAAATAACTTGTTTATACCCTTCTCTTGTTAATCTGGCTTTTGTTATAGGAGCGTCAGCTGTGACCCTTATGATGGATGAGGAAAGGTATCACACCTTTCCGCCACTACACTACTAAAGCTGAATACACTATGACTTTAGAATTCCATGGAAATTCCATAATGTATACAAATGTTCACCAAAATACTTGTACTAGAGTATTCAAAGCAGCACTATTTACAATAGGCCAGAAAACTAGAAACTACCCAAAATGCCTGTCAACCGTAGAATGGCTAAATTGTGTTATGTTTACATAATAGTACATTACGCAGCAATGAAAATGAACAATCTACATTTACATACAAGATGGATCTTGGCCGGGCACGGTGGCTCATGCCTGTAATCCCAGCACTTTGGGAGGCCGAGGCGGGCAGATCACGAGGTCAAGAGATCAAGACCATCCTGGTCAACATGGTGAAACCCCGTCTCTACTAAAAATGCAAAAAATTAGCTGGGCATGGTGGCGCGTGCCTGTAATCCCAGCTACTCAGGAGGCTGAGGCAGGAGAATTGCCTGAACCGAGGAAGTGGAGGTTTCGGTGAGCCGAGATCGCGCCATTGCACTCCAGCCTGGGTAACAAGAGCAAAACTCTCTCAAAAAAAAATACAAGTAGCTGGAAGTGGTTGCACACACCTGTAGTCCCAGCTACTTGGGAGGCTGAGGCACGAGAATCACTTGAACCCAGGAGGTGGAGGTTACAGTGAGGAAATTTCTCGCCACTGCACTCTAGCCTGGGCAACAGAGAGAGACCGTCTCAAAAAGCAAAATAAAACAACAACAACAGGCCGGGCGCGGTGGCTCAAGCCTGTAATCCCAGCACTTTGGGAGGCCGAGGCGGGTGGATCACGAGGTCGAGAGATCGAGACCAACCTGGTCAACATGGTGAAACCCCGTCTCTACTAAAAATACAATAAATTAGCTGGGCATCGTTGCGCGTGCCTGGAATCCCAGCTACTCCGGAGGCTGAGGCAGGAGAATTGCCTGAACCCAGGAGGCGGAGGTTGCGGTGAGCCGAGATCCCGCCATTGCACTCCAGCCTGGGTAACAAGAGCAAAACTCTGTCTCAGAAACAAACAAACAAACAAACAACAACAACAAAAAGAAAACTCTGACACAGGAAAATTACAACAGTGAAAGAGATCTGATTTCATCAATTCCATCTTATTTTTAACCTCCAAGCTGCCCTATTCATTCCTGGGAATAGGCTGAGTTCTCCATGGGAGGAATTTACTTTATAGTTTAATTTGGGAACAAAGATGATAACAGTCCCTTCCCAAAATAAATCCCCTCTTTGCCTGGGGACCAGACTGTCTTTCTAAAACTAGCAAATCAGCCACACGATTAGAAATTATGGGCCAGGCAAGGTGGCTCACGCCTGTAATCTCAGCACTTTGGGAGGCTGAGGCTGGTGGATCACTGGAGGTCAGGAGTTCAAGACCAGCCTGACCAACATAATGAAACACCGTCTCTACTAAAAAATGCAAGATTAGCTGGGCATGGTGTCGGGTGCCTGTAATTCCAGCTACTCGGGAGACTGGGGCAGGAGAATCACTTAAACCTGGGAGGCAGAGGTTGCAGTGAGTCGAGATCATGCCATTGCACTCCAGCCTGGGCAACAGAACACTACTCCATCTCAAAAAAAAAGAAAAAGAAATTATGGCTCAGGAGTCATACAGCCAGAGACCATAAGATTCCTAACCTCCTCAATTGCTCCTATGGATGATGTTACTATTATAAAACCTGAGATTGGCCAGCACAGTGGCTCATGCCTGTAATCTCAACACTGAGAGGCCAGAGTTAATGGATCACATGGGCCCAGGAGTTCAAGACAAGCTTGGGCAATATGGTGAAACCCTGTTTTTACAAAACAAAAACAAAAACACAAAAATTAGCCAGGTGTCACGGCATGAATCTGCAGACTCAGCTACTTGGGAGGCTGAGCAGGGAGAATCTCCTAAATCCAGGGAGGTTGAGGCTGCGGTGAGCTGTGATAGCATCACTGTACTCCAGCCTGGGTGGCAGAGTGACAGCCTGTCTCAAAAAAAAAAAAAAAAATCCCGAGATTGATATACTTTTTCAGATCCTGCATTCTGAGGCACCAGCTGGTGCCACCCAGATCAGTAAACTGGCTTAACTAGTTCTGGATCCTGCCCAGGAATGAAAGACACCAAGAAGACAGATTCGACCCGCTATGATTTAATCCCCAACCCAACCATCAGCATTCGCCACTCCCTAGCCCCCTGCCCACCAAATTATCTGCAAAAAACCCCAGTCTCTGAATTTTTGGGGAGACTGATTTGAGTAATAAACTCAAGTCTATTGTGTAGCCACCTCTACATTCATCAAACTCTTTCTCTATTGGGAAAACCTGCTGTTTGCAGTGTCTCAGCTTTTCTGGGTAATGGCCAAATGAACTCTTCTGGCAGTTCCCTGTTCTTGATGCTGGGTGCTGGATACACAGGTGTGTTCAGTTAGTACACTGAGCTGCATACTTTCTTTTCTTGTTTCTTTGTTTTCTTTCTTTTTAAAGATGGAGTCTCACTCTATCACCCAGGCTGGAGTGCAGTGTCACAATCTCAGCTCACTGCAACCTCCGCCTCCTGGGTTCAAGGGATTCTCCTGCCTCGGCTTCCTGAGTAGCTGGGGACTATAG